TCACAGCTCAATCAGATGAAAGCTTACAGTCTCATTCCTGTTCACCTGTCAGCACCACCCCCACCGACCGTCTTTGATTCAGGTCAGTGTCATATTCAGAACTCTTAGTGAAGAAACCCCATTTGACAGAATAAGGAGGATACTGGTATAAAAAGTGACTCCAGTTTTGGCTCTTAGGTTCCATGGGGGAGTGGTAACAGAATAGTCACAGGGGTTGTGAAGGTTTCTGATTCTGATCTTTGTGTGTACCTCGATATATTAAAAGAATATTTCCTATTTTGGATAAATTCTGACTTTTGCCTGAGAAAGTAGGCTTCCTATCTGAGACTGAATGCTTTCCTAAGAGCTATTAATGTCTTCCTCTGTTTTTCAGGGTTGACACAGAATCTAACAATGTAGCCGCTTCTGCCAATACTTTTATTAATTGTTGCCTACTTCAAGTTGATGAAGCATGACAGGGTTATTGTCCTCATTTTGCAGTAGAGAAAATAAGGACAGAGGGTTAAGCAACTCACCTAAGACCACATTCAAAACAGGAATGGTGTTGGCATTAGAAATCCCCTTCCGGGAAGCTTGGCTCCATGCTTTCCTTTAAAAAAATTATGAAAGTTTCCAACAAACAAACAAAAAAGAATAGATCATAAGATAACAAACACTAAAGAACCCATTTCTCAGCCTCAGAATTTTTTTTTTTTAAGAAACACTTACACATAGAATGAAAGCCCCCTTTCCACACCTTCCAGTTCTAATCTCTCACCTCTCTTTCTCTGAGAAAAGTAACACCCTGAATTTGGTAGTATACATTCACAAATACACTTTTACTGCATATGTATTATCCATAAAAAAAATGGTAGTTTTGCATCTTTAACGTTATATTATTGCTGTTATTTTGGATGAGTCCTATGATGTTTATTGTTTTGCTCAACATAGTTTTTACTCTATATTCATGCTGATATATACATGTATAATATAGCATGTTTATTGATTTTACCCATCATATAATATTTCATGAATATATAACAATTTATCCATTCTCTTTATAGTGAAGTGTTTTTTCTTACTATTGTTGAATATTATAAACAATAGTGCAATGAACATTTTTATACCTTTCACCTGATTTCTTTCTTGAATCCTACTTGAAATAAGAGTACTCTTATTGAGATAAGTACGAAGATTCAATTATCCTGTTTAAATTATGTGCTAGAGTAATGCAGGAGTGAGTAGCAAAAAGCAAGACTTACTGACTATATTCACATTTGGAGAGATTTAAATTTAAGTTTAAAAACCAATCCATATTCCACATATACCAGGATTTTCAGTTGATTTATCAGGATCTGTCATTGTATCTTGAAATCTCACTTATTAATCCACAATCTAGTCATTACTAATAACACTTCTTTCCAGAACCAGACTTGAATTTCTGTGACCTGTAGAATTTTTGTCAGATTGAGGAAAATACTGGCAGCACACAAAGTGTTGAATTGGTAGAGATGTGCTCTGAATAAAGCCAGCTTTATCATTACAGAAATAGAAAGAGTGGCTTGAAATTTTTAAGAACATCAAAATGATTTCCTTCTGAAAAAGCATGCCCTGGAGAGAAGGGTTGAAATTTCTATGGGACATCATGTCTGTCTTAAAGCGTTATCTTTATGGGGTAGAAATAGGCAAAGGATGGCCATTTTTTTGACTTATGTTTAGGATCATTATTGTCTGTTTTACATGACTGATTAAAAATTCTTCATGTCAACGGTGAAACAAAATTATTTTGAAAAATCACTATATTTACTCTGGATTCTCAGAATTCTGAAGAAGCTGGTTCATAGTGTTGGTACTAGAACTGCCTTTTAGTACCATCAGCTAATTCTGAAGACACTAGCACAGATTTGGACAAAATTGCCAGCACAGGAATTTAGAGACTAGGATTTTTTTTACTTCCTCTGACTAGGAAACTTGGGAACGTTACCTTAGCATCCTGGTCCTAGGGTTGCCCTAAGTCAGTAATTTGCATTTTTTTAATGTTGATTCCAGGCTGTTATATCAGTTTCAAGGTTTGGGACAATAAAAGTAATAATAATAATCACATGAAATAGTGGAGAATATATTCAAAGAACAGTGTATGTACTAAGGGTAAATATTATATCATAACTTGTTTGTTACAGAAGGGTGTGTGTGTTTGTGTGTGTGTGTTTGAGAGCATCATGCTGTGGGGCATTACTTAAGGTAAAATTCTTCTTCTGTATTCCTTTCAAAAAACGACCAAAAGCCATTTATATGGGGTGAATTCAGAAAGTATCTCAGGGACCTGTCCAATATGGTTATGTCCCTATTTAGAACTCCTTAGTTGCTCCCATTTTTTAGGATGAAACCCAAATTTCCCAGCATAACACATAAGACCTTTCATAATATCTGCGTCTGGGAAATGCAGGGCATGGTGAATATAAGTTTCTTGCTTTGATGGTAGTGCATCGTGTCTCCACATTTCTGCTGACGTTTTCCCCTGGGCCTCAAATGCTTTCTGTAACCACAAGGCATTACCTTTGCTAGAAAGTCTTCCATACCCAAGTATTCTTATGAAATTAGCACCCCTTCCCTTGGGTTTCTATTTTTTTTCTATTATTTTTACTGACGTAATGCCATAGCCCACAGTACATTTAACTGCAGTTAAAAATGTTTTAAAATCTATCTTGCCCTATTCAACTGTGAAGACTTTGAGGTCAGCTCTTTGTATCTTAAGAATTTAGGTTCTTTCCTTTTCTTATGCATATATTGTGTTCTCCCTTTCTCTTCAAATAACTTTATTCTTTAGAAACAGTACATATATTCGTTTTAAATGTCTCAAATGACATGGAAAGGCAGTTGAAAATAAACCCTAAATCCTACAGCCTAACAAAGACCACTGTTAATATCCAAACTGATGTCTCGTTCTACCTTCATATATGTATAGAGAGACATAAGCATACACATGCACGCATACACATACGGTATTATATGAATAAATTCATCCATTGATCTGACCAATTTTTCCTTTCAACAATGTCAAGGACACTTTCTCTGTTAATGATATACCTGTGCATAATTTTAAATGCCTACTTATAATTTTAATTCATTAAGGACAACAATGGTAGACCTGACTTCTTGTTCCTTGTATGCTCTAAGTATCAATTAAAAAGTAGCATTATTGTCCTTATATTCTTTGGTCGGCTGTAGTCTTGAGATCGTTGTGTAACTCTCTTTAAGAATTCTGCATTAATCCTCCTTCCCTTTATCCTTGACCTGCATCCTCTTACAATTTCTGCGTATCAGAGAGTCTCCTACCTAGTAATGTGATGCTAACCTTGTTTTTCTTAAGAGAATCATCTATAGTTACATAGTAAGAGTTTGACTTCTGATGGGCTTTCCATTTAGAAACTAAAACAGTGGAATCATACATATATTTTATCTGAATATTTTTAATCTCACCTCCCTAACATACGGTACACATCTCGATTGTACCTGATCTTCCCCTGTTCCGTGGTTACAAAATTCAAGGTAATATGTAATTGTTTTTAATGGGTATATTTATTTTACAAACCACTTTCACTCTTTGGTAGATATAGCTCACTAGTCAGTTATTAGGATACTTCCTCTAATCTCTAGAGCTAAAGTCAAGAACTACTCAGATGTATTATTTTAATAAAATGAAACATTTGTACAGTTTTGGAAAGGACGAAGTCTCATTATGATTATAGCTTGTTTGTGTCATGTGTGTGTTTGTGTGTATCATTGTGTGTATGTGTGTATATAGATGTGTATTTGTGTGCATGTGTGTTTGTGCACACATGTGTGATTGTGTGTGTGTGTGTGTGTATGAGAGAGAGAGGGAAAGAGAGTGCTCTGCTTCAGGAATACTTTAATTTTCTTCTTCACTGTTACTGGAGAGCCTAAACACAGTGCATTTTGTTATTATGGATTTTCTTCTATTTTTAACCTCTGTGAAAACTCTCAGGAATTTTTCATCCCTCAGTTTGTGGATTCAATAGTAGAGCACATTTTCATACTGTACAGCATGAATCCAACAACTCTTAGAAAGTCTTTTTGTTCCCATCTCTATATTCTGATCTCGAACCCCATCTCACCAAGTCTCAGAGACATTGTGTCACAATGTACATTGCCTTAGGTTTTAATATAAATTGCATGCCATTTATTACCTACACTCTAGTTATTAGTATGTAGAGATCGGAGCAATCAGTCATTTCCTGTTCCCTACCTAATTATCTCATATAATTAACTATCACCTCTCATGTTGTTCCTCTTCCCATGCCGTGCCTGTGCTCCTTCATAGCAGTTGTTCCCAACCAGGATGGATTTTGCCCTCAGGGAGCATTTGGCAATGTCTGGAGACATTTTTACTTGTCACAGGAAGGGTACTACTGGCTTCTAAATGGTAGAGATCAGGGATGCTGCCTAATATCCTACATTGCAGAATATAGGCCCATTCCTCACAATGAAATTCTTTCCAGTCCAAAATGTTAATAGTGCTGAGGTTAAGGAATCTTGCTATGGAAACTGAATTCATGTACTTTTTATTTGAACTTTCAGATTTCTTCTACCCCTGAGGTTCTGAGTTTAACATATCCTCTTGATTCAGACTAGCTACTTAGCAGCAAAAAGTGATTATAAGATATTAAGGTATAAAATTTTATCGCATATCTTATCCAAATCATGCTTTAGTTGAAGTGAGGCAGCAACCGTCATCAAAAATGTTTCCCTTATGAGCAAAACTATAGTACATGAAAATTGACATCACCACAATAGCATGGAATAGGCAGTGAAGGAAACTGAGGCATATTTCTAAGTAAAGAATAAAGCTGGCGGGATTAATAAATATGATTATCCTCGGATACTCTCTGCTCTGAATGTTATTTTGTTGTTATGGAAGATCTATTTGCACTTGCATTGAGCAGATCTCCATAGACACCTTAACACTATCTCCCTTATTTTCTCCTCTTTTTTTCCCTCAGATATTTCACATTTTCAAGAACAAAATGATTTAAAAGGATTACTAGAGAATCTCCATCAAAATATCCAAGCCAAAAAAAGGAAGAACGTAGAAATCATGTGGCTGGCTGCAACGGTAAGCACTCTCCAGCCAGATCTTATTCCCTGTCACCGTGATGAGCAGTAAGCATCATCGGGTATCTGCATAGGGTTCAACCTCTGTACTTTGGGGTACCGGATGTCATCCTCCATCACCTCAGGGATTAGGCATGTTCAATGCTGTTGGTAGTTCTATCAGTATACTCAAACAAGAGATGGAAGAAGATGCACTCAACGGGAAAGAATTTCACTTATTGGCTTTTCTTGTACATCCTGGATGTTGTTTGACACTTTGAAGTTAAAGTGAAGTATTTGTGATTTTCTTCATATTATATGTTGCAATGTCGATCACCCATATCAATCAGGATTTTGAAGTGCTACTGTAGAGGCATATGGTTTCAATAGAATGTGGTTATCAGATCTCTGACTAGAAGGCTCAGTAAGGCTCCTGGACACATTGTTCAATTAATGAGCTTGTAAATTTGTTTGTTAAGTTAGATATTCACATAAAATTTATTACTGATGGATTGCTCTTGGGGTAATGAGCTATATTTTCTATGGTTCTTTCTCATTTAATGGTACCCTCAGGGTAGAAGTTCTGCCTGATTTCCTACCCCAGGTTTCTACTAGAGTGAGAGAGAGAGAATAATGCCTGTATTTTTTAAACTCTTGTCTGGCAACCATTCAGGCACAGCTCACATGAACTTATGAATTTTGTTAAGCATTCACACCCAAAGATCCTTTCCTAATGAGAGAATCAGAAAAGGGACACTTTGGAGACATTTATGATAAGTGCCATATTTGTAGGTACTGCACACGGTGGCTTGTGTAATTTGGAGCTCAATAACTAACCTTCTAGCATAACTCCATTCATTCTGTATCAGTGGCATTTAAAACAAAGCCTTGTCCCTACTGCCAGTGTTCAATTATAATCCAATATTACTTACTCTCTTCTGGGAAAAAGGAATGGATAATTTACCATGAGTCTATATAAAATAATTTACCAAGAGCAAGGCAGAGGAAATCTGCGTTTGCTTCCCTTTATGCCCTCTGGGAGCCCCAGGGAAGAACATCAAAGGTAACAATATGAAACATTGCTTTCAGGCGGCTCATTTACACTGGTCCCATTTAGCACCATACTGCATTACAGGAAGGTTGTTTTTAATAGCTTCCCCCTCCCCCCGGTGTGGCTGCTCTTTATATCTTCAAAGACTGCTATGGTTGTTAATTCTCCCAAAAATTTCACAAAGGTAGGTCGTGTGCTATTTTTGCTATTTTACTAATAATGTGATAACAGGAAGGTAATTTGATCATATATCAATGCTTTCTGACAACTTAGGAACATATACATATGTCATTATACACATATCATGAAGTTATGTAAATTGATAAATGAAGGATGTACATGTGCAAACACAAGTGTATATTTTCTCTTAGTACCTGCAGTTATACCATTTGAATATATTAAAAAGGTTTTCCCATAAATCTCATTCATTCCTGAGATTCTTTTTTGAAACTTAAATACTGAACAAATATAGCTCACTCACAACTTAACCATTGAATGCATGTCTGCCTTGATAAATACAGGGCAACCAAGTATGCAAATTTGGCATTATGTAGGAACACTGACTTAATTATTACAGCACCTCTGTAGGCTGATACCTCAGTATCAATATCCTCTTTTTAAATCAAAGACTTTGATACTACTTTTAAAATGAAGAAATGTAGGGTCACCTGGGTGGCTCAGTCTGTTGAGTGTTTGACTTTGCCTCAGGTCATGATCTTACAGTTTGTGGGCTTAAGCTCCATGTCAGGGTCTGTGCTGACAGCTAGCTCAGAGCCTGGTGCCTGCTTCAGATTCTGCGTCTCCCTTTCTCTGCCCCTCCTGTGTTCACACTGTCTCTCTGTCTCTCAAAAATAAATAAATGCAATTAAAAACATTTTTTTAATGTTTGTTGATTTTTGAGAGACAGAGACAGAGCATAAGTGACGGAGGAGCAAAGAGAAAGGGAAACACAGAATCCAAAGACAGGCTCCAGGCTCTGAGCTAACTGGCAGTACAGAGCCCAACGCAGGGCTCGAACCCACAAACTGTGAGATCATGACCTGAGCCGAAGTCGGACGCTTAACCGACTGAGCCACCCAGGTGCCCCAATAAAAGCATTTTTAATGAAATGTGGAAATTTCCTTTGACATTTTCTAAAAAGCTTTTATTTCTGCCTCTATTTCATTTTCTTCTCTTTTAAAATCTATTAATTAAATATTGCTCTGTTAGGGGCGCCTGGGTGGCTTAGTCGGTTAAGCGTCCGACTTTCGCTTAGGTCATGATCTCATGGTTCGTGGGTTCGAGCCCCGCGTCGGGCTCTGTGCTGACTGCCAGCTCAGAGCCTGGAGCCTGTTTCAGAGTCTGTGTCTCCCTCTCTCTCTGACCCTCCCCTGCTCGCGCTGTCTCTCTCTCTCTCCTAGAAATAAATAAAACATTTAAAAAAAAATATTGCTCTGTTAATATTTTACATTCTCATTGAAAAAAATAAAAAGCTATTTGGTTTTATCTTGATTGAATTTTAAAAAATAAAAAATGAGAATTTAAAGAGACCAAGTGCCACTCAAGTGTTGAATTAAATTCAGGGTCCCCTGGGTGCTCAGTCAGTTAAGTGCCCGGCTGCAGCTCAGGTCATGATCTTACAGTTCCAAGTTCCATCCTTACATCCCTACATCAGGCTATGTGCTTACCAGTGCTTTTGATCCTCTGTCCCCCTCTCTCTGCCCCTCCCCTGCTCTCTCTCTCTCTCTCTCTCTCTCAAAAAATAAACATTTCAATTAAGTTCATATAGTTCGAAGGAGTTTTAGAAATAAGGAAACCAAGGCCTAACCAGCCCACTCTGATTTAATTGACCCTGCCTCCTCTTGATTTTAAATTTAGAAATCAAATATCTTTAGTAGGATAGTTGAATATAGTAGAGGCAACACATTAAACATTTTTTAAAAACATTTTTAATGTTTAGTTTTGAGAGAGACGGAGTATGAATGGGGGAGGGCCAGAGAGAGGGAGACACAGAACCCGAAGCAAGCGCCAGGCTCCAAGCTGTCAGCATAGAGCCCGAGCGAGGCAGAGCTTGAACTCACTAAGAAGGGTGCTTAAGTGACTGAGCCACCCATCCACTCCAGTAGAGGCAACATATTTTGAAGAATATTCTTTCTTTTAAAAATCATATCTCATAAGCGGCATTAAGGTCTATATTTCGTTACTATGAGTATTGTCAAGTCTTTGTTTTATATTTAAAATTTTGAAATATTTTTATTTGAAAAGATTAGAGTTTTACAGATGAAGAAAAGATTTTATGGTGAAATCATGCTCTCATATTTTTCTAGTTGCTTATATTTGAAATAGTGAGAAGTACCCCAAAGTTCTAATAAGGACTTGTAAATCCTAGTGTTTGTATCAAAATCATAATTAAAACATGGTAAAAATCCTTGATAAACTATTATACCTTTTCCACAAAGCAGATAACTGTTAAGGCAGATATCTGCTGTTAATTATTCTTAAATTAATCTTCCTTAAGTTATCTGATGGCAGATAATAAACCAGAACTGTATCATATCACAATAGATTTATTTTAAGTACATGTTGATTGATACTGTTGATACTAATATAGAGTACTGGCATCTCATATCAGAGCCATACCATGGGACAGGGAAGAGAAAGAAACAGAATGGTTTACTTGCTAACCACAAGGCAATGAGACAAGACATTACTGCTGCTCAGAGGTTTTTGTCTTGACTTACATCGGAATAACGAAAGAAAGCATTTACAAAAAGGAACAGAATCGGACAGAAATGAAAGGTTTGGACCTTGGCATTAGGTAAACCCACGTTAGCATCCTGGCTCTGCTCAGTTATGCGCAAGTTATTTAACCTAGCTAAACCTCAATTTCTTCATCTGTAAAATAAGAATGATTAAATCTTACTCCAGGATTCATGTGCAGTTATTAAAAAGCAAATCTAGACATGGCTGGGTGGCTCAGTCTGTTGGGTGTCCGACTTCAGCTCAGGCCATGATCTCACAGTTGGTGGGTTCGAGCCCCATGTTGGGCTCTGTGCTGTCAGCTCGGAGCCTAGAACCTACTTTGGACTCTGTTTCCCTCTCCCTGCCCCTCCCCTACTCGAGCTCTGTCTCTCTCTCTCTCTCTCTCTCTCTCTCTCTCTCTCTCTCAAAAATAAACAAACATTATAAAAAGTAAATAAATTTTAAGAAATAAGAAAGCAAATCTATATGAAATTCATTAGCCTCATACCTGGCACAGTAGATGAGTGATTTACAGTGACCATTTTGGTGTCTTTATTCTTTCTAGATGCATTAATGAGTGGTTAGTGGTTCACATATCTGCTGCTCTGGTGCCATGTGGATATTCGAAATCTCATAACATAAAACCAAAACTAGCAAAGTTTTCTTAAATATAAATTAAGAAGATGTTAGCTACTTAGGATTCAAATCAAGTACCTGATCCAGGAAATATAGTTTTATTTTCCCTTCACAATTAAGGTGTTGCTCTTAAGCTGTGACTATTACTGTCATCCACTACAGCTCAGGTCCCCTCTCAGGAGGCTTTGCTGCCTCTGCTGGATATTTACCATCTCATATGGCTTCAACAGCCTCACATGTCACACACCACATACAAAGAGCTAAATAAATTCAATCTGTTCCACTAGCTTTTGAAATGAAAAGATAATGTTTTTCATTCACTAGGGCAGATTGAACCAATTGACTGTCATAAATTAACATAAATTTGGTGTGTTTAGATAAGAAGTGTTTAGAGGAGTCCGACACTTTAGAGCAATCTACAAATGAACAAAAAGCTATTCGTATGTCTGCATTACAGATTTGTCGCAAACTAAATGGAATTCGTTTCACCTGTTGCAAAAGTGCCAAAGACAGGACATCCATGTCGGTGACTCTTGAACAGTGCTCCATCTTGAGAGACGAGCACCAGCTGCACAAGGACTTCTTTATCCGAGCACTGGATTGCATGAGAAGGTATCCCACATGTCTTCAACTTTCTTTTAAGGTCATTTTAAAGTTTTGGGGCTTTTTTCCAAATGCATATTTTACTAGAGGACTAAATATTTAGTAACTTCACTGCATTTCCATGGTTCATAGCTCACAGCATAAAAGATAAAATAATGTTAAGTATTCCCGCTACTGATTTTAGGCAATAAAATAGAACGTGGCTAGATTTTGATAATAGCTTCTTAGCTCATTTAGATCCAAGTTTTAAAAGGCTCTGGTCCCTTCATATATAGCACTTGAAGAATGATTTCTTTATATACTAGTAATGGTGAATATGCACAAAATAAAACTAAGTCTTTATCCAAGCAAAATCTTTCCTAATTTATCCAACTAACAGGGGATCTTCCCAAAGTCTGGTAGGGTCTCCAGGTCAGTCACCTGCTTCCTAAAATTATTGTCACATCACTCATCGGAAGGATGGGACGGCACCAATACTTTCAAAATAGAGAATTAATATTGTTACTCTGCCGACATTTAAAATGCTCTGCCTGAAGTCATGTTTCTTGATTCATTTCCACAGTAATTAAATCTAAAGCCTAAGCCATAATGGGAAGGAAAAAGTGCCTCATTCACAATGTCTGTCAGCAAGGACACACGTTAATTAAAAAGTTAAGCGAAATTGTCTCTTTGCTGCAAAGACCGACTCAGAAGCACACCCGACAGCACGGCACAGGTGCTCTGTCCCCAGAAAGGAGTGTCCCGTGATGCTCCAGAGAAACCTGCTACTTATCTGGCATATCATTAGCTTCTACTTTTTTTTTTTTTCCCTAACCACTGCAGCCTTTCAGTGGGGACGTGGACGCTTGCCTCTGCTCGTCCTGTGCCTGCATGTTTTCCTCACTAATGAGAGGTTTCTGAAGCCCTCTCTGTTCCCCCATTTCGTGTCTCTTGGCATTTTCATTGTTCAGTGGAGTTCTACCATAATTGTTTGACAAATGTATGAGTATGTCTTAGAAGCCTGACATGAACATCTGAGCCATATAAAGCACATTTGATTGATATAGAAAAACTTCTTTTAAAAATAATCTCTCACTGATGAGAAGAATTCAGAATCTGAATCTGAAATCCTCCAATGTGCATAAAAAGAGCACAAATTGTCACTACGGATGGAACAAGGTACTAGGTGGGGGGAGCAGGAACACATGGCCAGATATACCAACGGACTACAATGATTCAACAAACAGGAATTTTCTGGAAGGTGCAATTGTTTTTATTTAAAGGCAGAGGGAAAAGAGGACCCCTAAATTAGAAAGATAATTCCTTAAAATTGGTAAATAAAAGATGTATTTGTCATATACATGTTAAACTATAAAACTACGTAGTGTGGTATTGCATAAAGGTTGTACAGAATCAACATTATATATGTAACATACTTGTTCACAGCATAACATTTATGGGGGGTTCATTTTTGAATTGTTAAAGTAAAGTGGAAAAATTTTAATCTAAAAACACTGAAGATCTTAACTTCCATATCATTACTTCTCTGAAGGATCTATCTATATATTTTTTAATATAAATTTCAAATCTGTCAACTCTATTATTTGGTTTTGTGAATACATGAGGGCTGTGTGAGGCTAGGAGGGCTTGTGTGTGTGTGTGTGTGTGTATCTATGTTTAAGGGAAACGAGCTATATTCTTTTCTTTAATTACTACTATCATTTCCTTCTTTGGGTATTCTATATTACAATCTAAGCCCATTGGTTTATGAGTTCTGCAAAATAGCAAAGTAAATGAGAGCATGGAGCTTGGGAGCCAGTGATGCAAGTTTGAATGCAGCCTATATGCCACTTACTAACAATGAGAAAGTTAATGTCTTACTGCCTCTAATGCCTTAGGGAAATTATTCAACCTCTTGTTGCCTAGGTTTCCTCATCTATAAAATAGATGTGATAATAGTAGCTCTTCTTAGGAGTGTCTTAAGGATTAGATGAATTGATATGCATAAAGTAATTAGAACAGTGTTTGACATACAGTGATCACTGTATAATACTTGTTATATCAATAAAAAATAAATATCAAGGGTCATGATATCAACATTCTGATCTTTCAGGTACAGTAAAATCTAGCCAACCATGGTCCTTATAATCTTTGTGAATATATTATGACAAAAAGTTTAACTCCAATAGCATATACTAAAATGAAGTCTATTACCAACTCTTATAAATAAGGTTTCAAAAGCAGTGTTTTATCTATTTAAGAAGATAGTTCTTTAAATGCCACCTTACAGTGTGCATGTGTTTATAAATGCTGTGCTAATTATGGATGGAGTGTATTCACTACAGTAAGCCTGGATAGGTTTCTTATAAATATTTTTTACCTTAATGTTTATTATTACCTGTCCTTAGAAACTGAGTCATATATTTGAGATCAAAGAGTCACCCTTGAAGTCTAGTGAAGCCTGCTTTACTTTATAAATAAGGAAACTGAAGTCTAGAATGTTTTGGCAAAGACTTCTCATATAGAAAATATTAGAGCCAGCCAGCACATGAACATAGATGCCCTTGTTATATTTTCACGTTATTTTCTTTGTACCAAATAAAGTAAAATAACATCACTTAAAACTATTTGGTAATGTATTTGGCTCCTTCAAATCTACCACTTGAAATACAGTTGACCCTTGAACAACACAGGTTTGAACTGCTTGCATCTACTTATATGCAGATTTTTTTTGTAAGTACAGTACTGTAAATGTACTTTATCTTCTTATGATTTTCTTAATAACATTTTCTTTATTCTAGCCCACTTTATTGTAAGAATATAATATATAGTACACATAATATACAAAGCATATTCTTATCACTGTTTATGTTATCAGTAAGGCTTCCTGTCAACAGTAGGCTATTGCTAATTCAGTTTTAGGGGACTCAAAAGTTATACATGGATTTTCCAATCTGCAGGGGTTTGGTGTCCCAACCCCTATGTTGTTCAAGGGTCAAATGTATTATATAAATCATATAAGTCATTAAAAAATGTGTTGTTTTAGAAATTTCAGACTGTGTACAAGACTAGAGTAACCTGCTCAAATCCTGAGACCTTGAAGAGCAAACTCTAGTTCTAGAACATAAACTCTTTAATTTTTAACCTCATCTGTTATGCTCACCATTGTGCAAGGGCATTGAGCACAGTGACTGGTCCAGAGTAAAACAAATATAAATAGGGGTTGAATAAATGAAGAACAGTCCAACTAGCAATTCATTCCGCTGCCTTCTGTTTTTCAGAACTATGTAGCAACTTTACTGTTTTTTTTTAAATTATGTTTTCAATTTTGCTCGAGATAGTAATTTGGTTTGTACTCTTATGCCTAAGCCTTGTATCCTGGGGTTGCCCTTGGGTCTCTGTAGTTTGGTGGCCAATGATAATAAGCCAGAGGTTGTGCTCAAACAACTTGATCCGGTAAGGTTTCCAAACTCCATTGATGTATTTGTGGACTGTGAATATATTCGAAGTTCAGGCATTTTTGAATCTGCTCCTTTCATTTCCACCAGGCCTGTTAGGTCCTGCTAGTTGGCCGAGATGTGTGAAAGTTTACCAAAGCCCTCCGTGGCTCTCTCATTTTGGGGATCTCTGGGAGCGACCCCGGTAGAAGCCCTGTCTCAGACTAGCCAAGAGGCCGACTGTCAACATCTAAGAGCACTGCTCTTTCAGGCAATGCCTGGGAGTGGCATTTCGTGCTGTCCATGCCCAGAGCGGTCACGTGCTCCGCCAGCTCATCCTAGTAGAACCTGAGCTGAGAGGGGCAGGGAGGGGAGCAGGAAGACCACACACTTCCCCTCTTCTTATCCCCTGTCAGCAGTTTTCCAGGAAGAACCAGTTCTCAGCTTGTTACTTGGCTTCAGTTGATTACCAGGCTCCGGAAATCGATGTTTTTGACTTTCCATTTTCCAGTATTTTCCATTATGAGAGTTTTATGGAAGAAAGGATTTGCAGAGCTCCTTGGTCTGCCATCAGGGAAATCCCACCCTGAGACGGTGGCTTTAAGATACACCTCAAACTGTTTCTGGAGTTTTTTAATATGACTTATGTTTGGACCCTATATGGTTTATAATTGGGAAGATCTGAGGTGGATCCAGGGATCTAAGTTTTTCAAGAAATTTACTGATATACTATGACACAACCTCAGATTTAAAAAAATCAGTGTTTTAAAGGAGTTTGATTTTTATGCTTTTGAAAATATTGCTTTTTTTAAATTTTTATTTAACATCGATTGCAGTTTATTTTACCTTTGAATTATTCTAATTGCCTTTTAGGCTATTTACCCTGGATTTTTTTAGAGTTCACCAAATTTATACTATCATTGCATTTTTTTAGTTTTACTTTCTCCTTATCTCTATTAAATTTTGCTATTGTATTATGTTTCTCTCTGTAACAGGTTTAGGCTATTTATGAATAAACAAAATGTCATAGATAAAGAGAAATAAATAAAGCTTCATTGGGCTGCTTAGTCAGAAACTTGCTCACCAGCATAAGTTCTGTGAGAGCAGGTATTTTTATTTTCCTTTGTCCATTGCAGTCTTCCAGGACCTGGCACAATGCCTAATGATAGCAGGTTCTCAATAAATATTCAATGGATGCATGGATGGATGGATAACACAGGTTTCTAAAATGTTCAGGTCATATATATTAGGGAGTTTTGTGTATATATATATATATATACAATATATATATACATGCATATATATATATATATGCATTTAGAATTAAACGTATGAAATTAGCACTCAGTTATGACATATTTACAAGCAAAATTCCAGAAGATGAAATTGGAAGCTATGGAGAGGTTATGATTTAAATTCAAAAATAGACCACAAAAAAAGCGTATCTTAATGCATATTCCAAACCCATCCTTTGTTCTATTTTCAAAAATGTCACTCTTTTCCTACATAGCCAATATTACTCACAGGTGCACATTCCTGATACGTGCCTCTGGTTATAATCTGCTTCTTCAGAGTAGAAAGTTAGCAGAGTAT